ACTCATGGGAAATTACTCCTGTACAACACTGGCAGAACTCATCAGCACCATCCCCAAAGTTATACTTAATGTATATTTGTTGTCATTGTGTTTCCGCAAATTGACATTGCCAAGATTTGACTTCTACATATGCTGTTTAAATGTTGGACTGGTTTACAGGGTTTTATTTAGGATTACAGTGTCTGCCTGTCCCTTGCTGTCTAACCAAAGTAAAAAACTGCCCGTCCTGCCCCCCAAAAAAAATTATGAAACTGACATCCCCTGGTACTTTCTGAGGCCCTATTTCCTTTGAATCCAGAATTTGTTTAGAAGGAAGTCCGAAGACTTTTTCACGAGTTTAAAAGATTTATGGGACCATATAAATTTTGAACAAGCAAAAGCTTCTTGTCCAAAGTTGTTTTTTGCCCGTCCCCAGGTCGGCTGGACTGGAATGGGTAACTGGATGAGACAGGTGCTGGTCTGTCAATAATTCTCTGTTCCTTTGGGGTTTTTTTTCTACCCAACAGGGTGTGTCACTTGGCTGGAACGTTATGTCGGACACTACAGAAGAGACAGCCTGAGCTAAGCATCACAGAGAATGACGTGTTGTGTGTTCAGATAGCTGGTCTCTGCCATGATTTAGGTAAGGATTTCGAGGCTTCCGCTTTTGTTTTGTCTGTGTCCACAGTACGGTTTTTATAAATGCTTAAGTTGAGTTTCAGGATGGATCATTGTTGTAATCAACCTGTCTTTCATCCCTGTCTGTGCCTGTTTTTATTATCTGCATTTACTTGTTTAATTTTGTGATGAATGATACCCATTGGTAACTTTATTTACCCCTTTTTGTTAAGATATGCTTGATTTTACTCTGTCCTTGTGAACTACTGTGAAGTATTGTAAATGAAGTACTTTCATAGATGTCTATTACGCACTGAATTCCCCAAATCGTCCAGTGTGTTTTTAAGGTACAAGCAGTCCATCATTTTCAGTTATCCAAACAGTAACTGACAAAGTTATTGTTCTAAACCACACTTGGTTTAAAGATGGGACTGGACTCCCTGTGAAACAAGTTTTTTACTGGCAAGCTGTCATTTTGAAGAAGACAATAAGAGAAGGTACAATGCATCTAAAGATCCATATTTGGAACCTTGTCGGTAGAAGTGCATACAAGTGTTGACACAACAAACACACACTTGCTTGGTTACTGTAATTCATTGGTTCAATGCAAGACATTGCAAAGCTGCGTTCAACTGAAGTGTAAATGTGTCTAAGACTCTGAAGTCAATTGCAATTAAAAACGTGATGCAGCAACTTGCAATCTGACATTGAAATCCTAGAATATGATTGCTTTGGAATATACAATATTGACTGTGCTGCAGCTTCATCAGGTTTGTTCATCGGCACCTGTCTTCAGATTTTGAGTAATTTTGTTGCTTCACTGGTACAGAATGCACAAATGACCAATTAAGGACTTAACCTTTGAACCCAGTTGGTTGATCTGGTACTTTCAAGGAGGCATCCATATTGTTTTGTTGTTTCATTCCATTATTTCACAGGTCACGGCCCGTTTTCCCACATGTTTGACCAGCTCTTCATCCCTGCCATCAGACCCGATTGCGGTTGGACGGTAAGAAATGCAGCATGGCCCCTTATTTACGAAAGACCCCAACCTGCTGGTCCCCAGGAAACCCATCAGCAGACAAGGATTGCTGGATGTAGTGGATTTTCTTAGATTGATAAGCAGACTGGTCAGTTTACAATGGCTTGGGTCAGTTTACAATGGCTTAATTTCCTTTGGTTTGGCAGAAAGCTCGAAGAACATCTAGAAATGTGGTTACAGTGACATTTATCAGAGCCAGGTTTAACCCTCAGCAGGTTTTTGTTGATCTTGAGCATGTGAGCTGGCTATGTAATCTGTTGTACCAGTCTTGGCACTAGATGAATATACACTGGAGTGTTGTGTGTTCTGCCAAACTTTGAAAGTCAGGCCCAGAAGAGCCTGACTTTTTTGGAGTATCTTTGGATTTCTGAAGCAGGTATTGCTTCTAAACAAGCTGTGTCTGATTTGCATTCCGATATTTGGCTTGACCGAGAAAACACTTTTCTGTTTTGACCCGTTTGGACAGCACGAGAAAGCCTCAGTCGACATGTTTGACCATCTGATTGAGTCCAATGAACTGAATGAGGTCTTTGTCCGGTACGGCCTAGATGACCGCGACATCAGCTTCATCAAGGAGCAGATTGCTGGGCCGCTAGAACAGAAGAACGTAAGGACACCAGAGAGCTGTAGAAAGTCCAGACTCTGTCTTAAGTCAGACTTTTTTGCTAACTTGGGATGTTTCTGTACTGATGTGGCCATCATCGAGTTCGAACTGATGCATTTATATTTATAAAGGTCCGGATATACTCCTGACTGGCTTGGAATGTGTGACAGGCCAAGTACATATGCCTCACCACTAGGGTTGCACACTGTTTATGATGAAAACCAGCCAAGTCTGTTGTCAGTTTCAGAGTTACCAGTTGCCCTGTTCGTAAAATCTCGGGTGAGAACCCTGCATGCACGTACGCAGTTGAAAATCAAGTAGGTTAGGTGGATATGCTTGAAATTTTTTCCTGCCAGGAATTACTTAAGAGCAAAAGTGGGTGAAAATTGAGTGTGTGGTGTGATTAATAATAATCAGGAGAGCATAAGAAATTCCTCTAGAGCCAGTCTAGTTCAGTGCTGGAGTCATACATCAATGAAGTAACGTTACGTGGGCATTCTGAAGTGATATGAAAGCTTGTAATCTGCAGTTCAATTCCTACTGAAACTCACTGGAATCCCCCAAAGAAATTTGACCTCCCGGACTCCCTCATTTCAGACTTCCTGGCCTTACAGAGGGCGCCCGAAGGACAAGAGCTTCCTGTACGAGATCGTGGCCAACAAGCGCAACGGCATCGACGTGGACAAGTGGGACTACTTCCTGCGAGACTGCCACAACCTGGGCATCTCCAGCAGCTTTGACTGTCATCGCTTCATGAAGTTCTCCCGGGTCATCGAGGTGGATGGCAAGAAGCAGATATGCGCCAGGGATAAGGTTAGTTCTGACTCGCGCTGCCTGGATGTGGCCATGGCAGGAAATCGCGCGTGCGTGTACGGCACATGCGCAAAGCCACTATCTTGCAGCTTCTAATAAAGTTTGTGTTATCTCCACCCAAAGCCACGTAATTTGGACACAGTCCATCACTGAGTTACAGAGTCAGCGACTAGCCAACATGATGATGTCCTTTGGTCAACAAGTCTTAACAGTCATGTAACCCGTTTGCATATTCAAGAACTGGAAATATTAGACTTCAGGGAATTCAGAACCATCCGACTGAAAAGCAACCAATACAATCTCAGAAGCTTCGAGAAACTTGCCATATCGATCCGTCTTGAGCAGAAGCACCCCCTCATCGGTTGAAAAGAGCCATGTTGGCGGGGTGTGTTCATTTTGTTGGAAGCGACATGACCGTAACGCTCACATGTCATAGTCAATTGTGAATCAGTGAAGTGCACTTCCCACCAAAGGAGCCTCCATTGCCAGGAAAATTGCGCCCTCTCTTGCTTGAGCTCAGGGCTCATAGGTCAGAATTCCATTCAAAGGATAAGTGTACATGTAGTTGTAATTTCCATTTACATGTACGCCATTTGCAGTTGAATCTCATGAATAGATGAGCTTTTAACTTCTGTAAGAGTCATCGATTGTTCTTCCAGTACCGTTCCCCTGACTCACTTTCCTCTTGTAATGTGGTCCACGCATACATCTGGGTAAAGATTGTTGATTGCCTCAGAGGTCAAGACTTGGGGTCAACCCCTCTTCTGGTAGTCCTGTTCAAGAATTGCCTGTGGCAGTTAAAACAAAATTGCATTTTTCTTTGCCATTGGCTGTTCCCTCTCCAGGAGGTAGGAAATTTATATGACATGTTCCACACACGGAACAGCCTCCATCGCCGAGCCTACCAGCACAAGGTGAATAAGATCATCGAAAGCATGTGAGTTTATGTCAACCAATTCCTTTTTTTATCTCCCCTTCCGTAAATTCCGGCTCATGAATTTCAACCAAAGTTTTAAATAGTCTAGCTGATTCCTATTAGAATTGACGTACTTGTCCTTTTCTTACTAAGGCTTGTTGAAGTTCTAGTCAAGGCCAACGATCATTGGCTGATCAAGGGAAAGAACGGGTGAGTAGAACTAGCAGATGTATTTCCGGCTTTTAGTTTTACATGCACATAGGGGTGTACACGAGCGATGTTGCATCCCTGACTGTGAAAACTTGCCAGCAGGTCATTCAATTGAGCCCATGGTGGTTATGTTTTGGGAGGCATATGCCTGTTTCTAAATGTAGTATATGTGTATGTGATATTGTAAGCGTACTTACGTGTATGTGTACGCAAGTATTGCAGTATGCTGTAGTCAGATGTTTTTCATTCTCACTAATGCCACACTTTTTATTTTTCTGATAGTGGATCTGCTGATTTACAGTTTGGCAAACTGAGAATTTCATATTTATAAACTTTAATTTTGGCACGTTTGTACGAGTCCTTTTTTATTTTCTCTGCGGAAACTATCAAATTTGCTGCATATACATTATTGCCTCACAGCCCCCAAAGTATTCGTTTTTCAGACATCTTTCCTGCCTGTAGCCAGTTTCTTGAAATGGTGGCTTACCTGGATTTGGAAATGAAGTTCAGTTTTATTTCATTCTCCGATTAGTGTCTCCTTTGGAAAAAAATCTACTTGTCCATATGACGGACAAATAAAACATTTTTAAAAGTTTAGCCGTTACTCAAGAACTTCAAATTGTTGTTTGAGTTTTGCAGTTTCCAGCCATTTATTTCTTCGATCTCTTCCTTCCACATGCAGAAAAATGCTGAAGATGTCGGAAGCCATTGACGACATGGTTGCCTTCACCCAACTGACCGATGACGTCATCCTGCAGATCATGCGTTCTGATGACCCAGCCCTAGCCGAGCCCCAACGCATCCTGAACATGGTCCAACGACGTCAGCTGTACAAGTGCGTTGGTCAGACGCAGCCCCCAGATGGCACATTCATTGAAAGAGTAAGTCAAAGACCGTACAGTATTCCCTTCAGTTCTTTGCAAGATTGGTATTTATGAAGCTCTGTAAATGGAATTAAAAAAAAATTGTTTACATTTGAAGTTGCTTACGAGGCAAGTTGCTTTTATATAAGCAAAACGTTGGCCATGGCTGAATTAACTATCTGCATACTGTTTTTATATTGCCTTCTGTTCACATTGGATAGTAGGCAAGTTTGCAGAAATGTTCCCCTGGGTTTGTTTGTGTTGGGTCTTGCCTCATGATGTGACATATTCCCCATTACGTACATGTTCTTTTAAAGAGGGTCATATTTTCATTTTTTATTTAGTGGCAGTATTTATTCTTTTGTGTCGGAACACAAAGTGAATTGACCTTCTGCTTTTGTACTAAAGGCCAGCTGTAGTTTTAAGTTTCCACTGGTAGGTAGATAGTCAACTGTGATATAGAACGAACAGACCCTATCTGCCTTGAGCAGAAGCACCCTCTCCTCGGTTGACAAGAGCCATGTTGGTCAGGAGTGTTCGTTTTTTGTTGGTAGCAACACAACTCTAATGTGTGCCTTTTGCACTCGTTTGTGAAGCAGCGAAGCAACAAAGGAGCCCCCATAACCAAGAAACTTGTGCCCCCTCTTGGTCCCGCTCGGGGCTGATATCCAGTGGTAACTCACTCATCTACTGAAGGAAAACGGCTGCAACTTCTACCCAGTTGCTCTCAAAGGCACAAGTGGCATGTGCCATGGCCGGGTGTTGCCAGGGGGTCAAGGACGGATACCAAATAAAATGTACGGGAAATTTTCCGGTTAATTTCCCTTCACACAAGGTGTCAATATTAGATGACTCGTTCTGATCCTTTATTTTTCCTGGTCATATTTATCCTATAAATGTTTTTTTGAACTGAATCCATTTGCAGAATAGAGTGCCTAAAATGAAGGACGAGATTGTTCAAGTGCAAGAGACCGAGGACATGGATGGCCCCAAACTCACGCCAGATCAGCTGATCGTCCATGTAAGTGCTCTGTATGCCTAGTGTCTGGCCATTGGCACCCTGAGGATGCAAGGGGGGCACTTGGACCCTGGAAAAAATTGACAAATACTGAAATAAGAAGCAAGAAAAAGCAGAGAAATGGGGAAAAAAAAGATAAGTAGAGGACACGAAAATCACCAGTATGACAAGAAAACCTTGGAAGGGACCCATTTCCTCAGGTAATGGTGTGCCGGTTTCTTACTTGTGAGCACTTTCCCTGGGAAAAATACTTTAAATCTTGGTGATGCCTGTGTGCCTGACCTGAAGTGGGCTCTATTTCCCGACTGCTTTTCTTTCTGAAGTTGGATAATGTATGGTTTGGTGAAAAAGCCATCATGCCGTCAGACAGTGTTCATGTTTACATTCGAATCAGTTTACTTCAGAGACTTGCAAATGTTACAATTACAATGAACATGGTGTTGGAACATCAAGTGCGCCAGTTTATCATCAGTGATTGTAAATTTGGACCTGTTTATTCTCGCATGGGTGGACATTTTGCCCTTCTTTATGACTTGTACTTAATCTTAACTCTGTGATTTATCTCAGAGCAATTGCACACTTTATTTACAATAACCGACAGATCGTGGATCTAAACTACGGCATGGGCCACCGGAACCCAATTGACTACGTGCGATTCTACTCCAAGGCCAATCCACAACAAGCTGTCATGGTGAGAAAGTGTCAGGTAAGAAGCTGAAGGAGGGAGTGGATGAGTAAACCTAGGCAATGGGCCCCAAGAGAGGGCGCCAATTTCCCGGCAGCAGAGGCTCCTTTGGTGGGACGTGCACTTCCCTGATTCACAACCATGAAATGACTATGAAATGCATGCGTTGCAGTAGCATCGCTACCAACAATTCCAGCACTCCCCACCAGAATGGCTCTTTTCTGCCAGTGAGGGGATGCTTTTACCCAAGGCGGATAGGTCCCGTGCGTAAGTACCCGCTCATGGGTGACAAACGAACTGTCTTGGCTGGTACACGAATGGCATTACTTTGGTGTTCATGGTGGACCTTACTGAAGTCACCGACAGAACTCACCATCTGTAATATTCTGTGTAGACAACAGTCCTGCGGTAAGATTGTTATTGTGGGGACCCAGATGTATGTTGGGACGCACCAAACCTCCCCCGTCCAGTTTGATCCAGATTTTCCCATTAAAAGAAATCTTCTCTGCAAGGCTAAGCCAACCTTTCAAACCAATACATGCAGTGAGGTAGCCCCATGACATTTTGTTACAAGGTTAAAAAAAGTCCCCCACCCCATCTTTGTCTAACATGGATCTGGCTACAGCATCAAAGAGCCTGAAGAGATGAAAAGGGTGTAAGCCTCAGCCGCCCATAATGGTCAAGGGCTCGTAATGGATATTTGCAGGAAGGCAGAGCCCTAGCCACTGTTACTGTTCAGAGGGCTTCCTGTTCCTCCAGATTTGAAATACAAAATGAATATGCCCTTTGGTGTCTGAAAAGTGAAAGATCTCGAAGAATTCTGAAGGCAATTGCTGGTTTTTATGCTTCTTGAAATTTTCATACATGTAGTTTGATTAGAAAGCCCAGGCATGTTAGGCCAGCGCATTGTTGTGAGAAAAAAAGCTGCTTAATTGCACAGTGACAGCGTTCTTTCTTCCTCAAAAATCTATTCTTTGTTTTTAAGAACTTTCATTGATTATGATGGCAAATATTGCATCAAAAGAAAAAGACACCAGATGTTAAACGAGCAATCCTTTCATCAGCAGCAGTAGTCCCTATCAACAAGGGAACATATTCGCAGACCTTTGCCCTCACTGAGACATTCATTGTTCTTTCTTGTCCACGGTGGTAAAAAAAATTCAGGTTTCCCAGATGCTACCTGAGCGCTTTGCGGAGCAGCACATCCGCGTATACTGCAAGCTGCGTGATCCTGAATGCATCAGCAAGGCCCAACGGTGCTTCCAGATCTGGTGCGACAAGAAGAAATATACAGTGCAGAAGGTAAGAATTGAACTTCGGGCAAAAGGTTGCTGTACGGTATTCTGTGAGCACCTTGGTGTTCATCACTGTGGATTTGGTGCATTTGTGCGCCCTCAGATGTAAAATGTGTAACATTGCTGTTAACCCTAACAATCCCGAACCAGTCAAACACCAGTTAGGTGTTTGAATTTGTGGAATTAGGTACTGGGAACTTGTTATATGGTGCTGGATTTTGACTTACCCTGTTGAATTTTGACTGAATGGGTACTGTGGCCCTCTCACTTTTTACCATCAAGAATTTCAAATGAGTACTGTATTTTTAAAGATTATGTAATGATAGAATGCTTCCCATTGAAATGGTAAGTATGTAATATTATGCAATAATTACCATAAGAAGGACAGTCTTTCTTGTTTCTGACCACAATGATCCCAGCAGCCAGCGATGGATATGCAGCATGATGGTGTGTGAGTTTCTTTTAATAGGTACTGCCTGTCCATACTCTTTGTACTGTGCAATGGGCCTGCTGTATCCAATCAAACAGAATCACACAGATAAAGACCTGTTGGAGTTTGTGTGATTGGAAACTGTTGCAGCAAGAGTACTGTTGGGAGTCTGTGTGATTGGGTACTGTAAGGTTGGAGTTTGATTTCAAGGTGTTGGAGTTTGTGTGATAGGGGAGGCGATACCTCTAGCAGTGCTTGGGAAGTTACGGTTAACGGCAGACATCTCCTTCATTTGCCCTGTGTTTGCGCATTCCTGAGGTGTGCATGTTTGTGCACATTCTGCAGAAAAACTAATTGGTAAAAAAGTGCATTGCATATGTGTGAAGTAGTGTCTAAGCTCAGTGTGTTTATAGTGGAGTAGGCTACACTCAGTGGCCTGTCTTTATCTCGTGCAACGAGTCATCATGAACCCTAACCATTTAGTTTGAATGGGTTTTATGTTACCAACCTCCTGAACAAGGAAGCGGACAAGTTGGAATTTTGCCAACACACACATGGCTGGAGTGTTTACTTGTAAGACAGGACAAATTCCCCTTCGATTAGCTGATTTAGTTGTTCTGTTTTACTTCCCATATTTGTATGCCACTGCACACAGGAAATTTCCCCCCTTGTCACACTGCCCTG